TAAATGCAGGTCCGGGACCAGACCGGGTCTGAGACCAGGACTTAGACCGGGACCGGACAAGGACTGAGTCCGGGACCAAGACTGAGACCAGGATCAAACAAGAACTGAGACCGGGACTGAAACCGGGACCAGACCAAGGACCAGAACTGAGACCGGGACTGAGGCCAGGACCAGACCAGGACCAGACCGTTATACCGGGACCAGACCAGGACTGAAAACGGTTTAGTCCTGGTTTAGTCCTGGTTCAGTCCTGGTTTAGTCCTGGTTCAGTCCTGTTTCAGTCGAATGAACAAATGATACACGGATTCTTCTCCTTTACAAAATGCTTCAAATTGTCCAGAGCTCCAGCCTCAGACTCAGACTTCAGACTTTCCGAGCAGCCGATATTCTCGTGATATTATGACTTTATTTTGACTACGACTTTATTCTCATAAAATTGCAGCTTTATTCTTGTAAAATTATGACTTTATTCTCATAAAATTACGACTTTTTCTGGCTTCGACTTTATTCTCGTAATATTACAGCTTTAATGTCGAAATATTACGACTTTATTCTCGTAGCGCCAGCATAATTATTATTTTTTTATCTAAGCCTTATACTCCGTCGTACTTTTGTTTCCCCCATTTTAATTATACAGCAAATAGTATACTGTATATATAGCAAATGTACATATACATACAAAAATATATGCGTATACATACATACAATTTTAATAAATAATGATTGGCTTTTTTGTTTGTCTCCTTGAGTTCTATCACTGTTCCGAATTTCATGAACCTACGCCAAAATTTGTGTCTCAGCCTCCAATTCATTTGAAAATTTTTTAATTTCAAGGGGGCGCTGTTGAGTGGGGGTGCTTCGGGCATTGTCGCGACGCCCGTTGTATCGAATTTTTCGCCGGACCGGTCGATCTGATACCCGATTTGGGGACTTTTCTTCGACGTTCAGGGGGTCAAAAATGCGATTATATGTGGGGAAAAAGAATAATAATAAAGAAACCCACGAAGAACAATAGCACCAATATTAATGATTAAAATGAAAACAAGATGACCAGATGATGATGATATTTACAGACAGTGTAGGACGCTCTATGCTCAGACAAATATTCTGGCTTTTGGACAAATAATGTAAAGTTGTTTTTGTTTAAATCATATTGTACATTGTTGTAAAAAGCCCAACTATGGATTAATGTCAAAAAAAGTCAGTTTGCAAAGACTCCATGTGCCTACAGTGACACTCTGCGGGTGATTTTGAAGAAGCACAATGGGTGTTTGTTACTAAGTGAACACTGCAAGCTCTACTAAGAACTTTAATGAACACTTTTATCTGCAGACTGAACAAATTGGACAATGAAATAATAATGTCACTCACAAATATGAGATTCAGTTCAGTAGAATATCAGTCCAACATGTGGAGACACTGGTACGTCTGGCGTTTAAAAACATAAATGGTTATTGTTTGTACTGTCACTGTCCTTGTCTGTTTTAAAAATGGACCATGAGTCCGGAATAAAGATAAATAATATAAATAATAATAGGGTCCAGTCAAGCAGTAACGGAGGGAAACAGGGGCAGATTTTTGACATTCAAATGTCTCTTATTCAGAAACTAGAGGGACTATTGAAATAAGTAAAGTATCAGAATGTAGGAAAGAGTTACACTCCAACAGGGTCAAGTTAAACCTGTGATATTCTTTCAAGTTGTTGACAAAAAATAAAAAAACTCATGTCGGTAACAGAGGGAATGAAATATGCAGCACTTTTTGGGCAATAAATCCAAACAGTGATAACTCTTGGTTCTCACTTACATATCCTTAACAAACTGGTTTGAATATTTGCTTCATATAGTTTTCTACCATATGGTACAAGATTAGGTTGAAAAACCTCTTACTTTTTGAATAATAAGATTTTTTATTAATAAAGGTCATGGTAACGGAGGGAAAATTGTGTAAACAAGTAGAAGGTGCAGGATTTTACATAATTTGTCAACTTTTTCCTTCTGAATACTTTAATATTACTTCAAAATGAAAGGAAACTATTTCTATAAAATATGTCAGTCCTTCCAAGCAAATTTTTATCATTTTAAATACATAAAAAAAAAAAAAAAAATCATGAACCTTCATCAACAGTTCAAAGATGGAATAACACAAGATATGATGAAATACATCCATTTATTTACATGATTTTTGGGTCTTTGAAATTTGGGAAATAATTTTTGTTCCATGTTTCATTCATGGTCTGTTTAAAACGTATGGAACTTTACAACCAAAAATGGTACAGAAAAAAGGTCAACAGTTTCATAAACTAGAGTACATATGTATCTGTTCAATACATTTTTATATCAGATGCATTAACTTGAATTTTTGGCCTTGTTGTTTACTTCTGCTTGACCGGGCCCAATAACAATAAAATAAAAATAGTCATAACTAAATTGTCACACTCTAATTACACAACTATAGTTTCCTGAGAAAGTCCATTAAAGGTGTCCATACCTCTTCAAATTCTTGTGGTTTACCTCTAATGATCTAGGTCAGGTTTTCCAGCGTAAAACACAGTGTCATTTCTCAGATCCAGGACTGTTCAGAAGAAATTTCAGTCTCTTTCCATGTTAAAGCGACATTCCTCCTGGTCTACAGGAAGCCAAAATCGCTCCCAGTGTTACTTTTAGAGCTGATATTAAAGTTGTCCGGATGTATTCCTAGTACACACTGTTTTTCCGAGAAAGGCACCTGGATGCCAACAGTTTTACTTTTACTTTTACTTTTACAATTTTATTTTTTAGGGTGCAAACTACCATTGTCCAAAATGCTACAAAAATAAGTCATGAAACAGGCAAAAACTCTGCATATTAATCTTGTAAAAATAATAATGTATAGAAAAATATTTTATAGGTCTTTTATTACTCACAGAATATGGATTATTTATGCCATAAACAGTGAAAAAGAGTTTGGGATCCATGTTTGATATTAGGACTAAGAATTTATTTATAATACTCCCTACAACTGTACAGCAACTCACCCTTATGTAACAAATAATACTCCCTACAACTGTACAACAAATCACCTTTATGTGACAGATAATACTCCCTACAACTCTACAACTCACCTTTATGCCACAGATAATACTCCCTACAACTGTACAACAACTCACCCTTATGTAACAGATAATACTCCCTACAACTGTACAACTCACCCTTATGTAACAGATAATACTCCCTACAACTGTACAACAACTCACCCTTATGTAACAGATAATACTCCCTACAACTGTACACACTCACCTTATGTAACAGATAATCTCCCTACAACTGTATTACTCACCCTTATGTAACAGATAATACTCCCTACAACTGTACAACTCACCCTTATGTAACAGATAATACTCCCTACAACTGTATTACTCACCCTTATGTAACAGATAATACTCCCTACAACTGTATTACTCACCCTTATGTAGCAGATAATACTCCCTACAACTGTACAACAACTCACCCTTATGTAACAGATAATACTCCCTACAACTGCACAACAACTCCTTTATGTAACAGATAATACTCCCTACAACTGTACAACTCACCTTTATGTAACAGATAATACTCCCTACAACTGTACAACTCACCTTTATGTAACAGATAATACTTCCTACAATTGTACAACTCACCTTTATGTGTCAGATAACCCTGTCCTGTCAATCATCATATAATTTTTTGCGCTGTCTTCCTTCTTGACATTTCATATTTTTATGACTTATTTTTCTATTTTATTTTGACTTGAACATTTATGTTTACATAATTATGTCTTATATGACACCTGTCTTTTCTATCTTTTTTGCTACTTATTTAGTATTATAGAATTATAGAATTATATTTCTATTGGATATGTTTTATTTGTATTGTACAGCACTTTGGAAACTGTTTTGTTTATGAAATGTGCTAGAGAAATGTGGCCTTATCGAACAAAAACACACAAGTGGAAAGTGTAAATCCAATTATACTGTAAACTGAAATCTATAGGAAAGTTTTTAAGTTGATAGAAGTAATATTCTAGTGTTATGTTCAGTGTTGGGAAGTTTACTTTTAAAATGTATTCCCCTACAAATTACAGATTACATACCCCAAAATGTAGTTTGTAACATAATCCATTAAATTACTTACAGTGAGTAATGTAATCTGAATACTTTGGATTACTTGATTTGCTGTAGAGAAACAAAGACGAGGAAATCTTCACATAAAATGTGAAAATGTTAAAAGAAAATGAAAAGCCCAGACTTTACTGAACCTTATTAAAAATATTATTGATAGAAGAAGAGGAGACACGTCCACGCAGCATGGTTTAGTTCTGTTAAATCCTGTTTTAGTCCTGGTTTGGATCTAGTTTAGACCTGGTTTTAGTCCTGGTTTTAGTCCTGGTTTAGTCCTGGTTTAGACCTGGTTTAGATCTAGTTTAGACCTGGTTTCAGCCCTGGTTTAGATCTAGTTTAGACCTGGTTTTAGTCCTGGTTTAGACCTGGTTTAGATCTGGTTTAGATCTAGTTTATACCTGGTTTAGATCTAGTGTAGACCTGGTTTTAATTCTGGTTTAGTCCTGGTTTATATCTAGTTTAGACCTGGGTTCAGTCCTGGTTCAATCCTGAATTAGTCCTGGTTTAGACTTGGTTAAAAAAAAAAAAAAAGAAAGAAAAAAAGAAGGGATACAGCCCAAAATGTGAAAACAGGCAAATACCGCCGTGTAATCCATTTATTTCAACAAAGTAACTGTAATCCAATTCCCACTCACTGAAACAGTAACTGTAACTGAATACAGTTACTCATCATTTGTACTCTGATTACGTAACTCTGGTACATGTAATCTGTTACTCCCCAACAGGTTATGTTTTATAGAAATAGCTCACATTGTTCAATAGTGTTAGCTTAGTTTTCACTGTTTAATTTTGCCTACCAAACAAACCGGAAATGGCCGCGCGTACTTCCTCCAGCTTGACGCAAAGGACGCAGCGGGGCGGACCCAAGGGGGCGACGCCACAGACAGCTCACAACTCTGTCAAGAAACTTTTACACTTTACACCGTCGCGTTTTTCTAGTGCAGTATCTCCACCGAAAACAACTGATACCCACCCCGACGCCGGACCGGACGAAGGGGGGAGCCATGGCGGGTACGTACAGCTCCGTTACGCGCGTCTCTCGTGTGGTTTTGTCGCGTAAACGTGTGTGCGTGATTGACAGCGAGTTGTTTTGCGCTCAAGGGAAAGCCCCGCGCACACAGAGGAGTGGAGGAAGCTGCCAGCGAAAGCAAATGGAGTCTTGGCTGGAGCAGAAATCGTATTTACGCGGAACCAGTCCGTCTGCATTCGGGAGATGTTTAGGGAACAAAATGTCGTCTCGGTTTAAAGCGGTAGTGTTAAGGAGTTGGAGCGGCTGCGGGCTCACCTGAGGCGGACCATGCGCACAGCCGCCCCCAGTGGAGAGCACACTGACGGAAATGAATTGAAATCTCTAAGAATTCAACATTTAAAAGTGAATTCTGGCTTTAACGATGGTGTGATTGGGATTTTAAAGTTTATTAATGCGTGCTCAAAGGTCCTACATTGCGCAAAATTGACTTTTTTGAGTTTCTAGCCATGTTATAATGTTGTTATTCCTCAAAAACAAACCTGGAGTTGGGTTCTGTTTTGTTTTATTCACGCATGCTTGTTGGAATAACTCTTTATCATTAGTCTGTCTACATCTCCAAAGCTCAAAACTCGACCTTACTCCACAAAAACAAACCCGGAGTTTTGTTTTGTTTCATTCACACGTTTGTTTGAGTTATTTTTAGTCTGTCTGGAACTCCAAAGCTCCAAACTTGACCTTTTCCCATTTAGTTCAATAGAGATTTGCAATTCCAGGTCTGAAAATATCCAAATTATTTTAGTGAAGGTGATTGGAGTTTAAAAACACAATGGAGCACTTCTTGTACACTCAAGATGGAACAGAGTGTTTTCAGTTTGTGAGAAAAACTTTGTACCGCCCCCAGAATCTAAATCTCTAAGAATTCAATATTTCAGAGTGAATTGTGGCTTTAGCAACAGTTTGATTGGGATTTAAAAGTGTATTAATGCTTAAACGTCCTACATTGCGCAAAATTGATTGTTTTGAGTTTCTAGCCATGTTATAACATTTGTTTGAGTTATTATTAGTCTGTCTGGAACTCCAAAGCCCAAAACTCGACCCTTTCCCTTTTGTTCAATTGAGATTAGCAATTCCAGGGCTGCAATAGTAGTGAAGGTGTGAGGAGTTTAAAAACACAGTGGAGCTCTTCTTGTACACACAAGGTGGAAAAGAGGGTTTCTCGTTTGTGAAAAAACTCTGTACTGCCCCCAATGTAGATCATACTGATGGAAATGAATTGAAATCTCGAAGACTTCAACATTTAAAAGTTTATTAATGCGTACTTAAACATCCTACATTGCGCAAAATTTACTTTTCTGAGTTTCTAGCTATGTTAAAATTAAAAAGTTTGTCTGCATCTCCAAAGCGAAAAACTCTACCATTTCTTTTTATAATGTTATTCCTCAAAAACTAACCTGGAGTTTTGTTTTTGTTTCATTCACGCACATTTGTTTAACTCTTTATTTTTTTATTAGTCTGTCTACGTCGCCAAAACTCAAAACTTGACCTTTTCCCATTTAGTTCAATAGAGATTCGCAATTGCAGGTCTGAAAATATCCAAATGATTCTAGTGAAGGTGTTTGGAGTTTAAAAACACAGTGGAGCACTTCTTGTACACACAAGGTAGAACAGAGTGTTTTCAGTTTGTGAAAAAAAACCTTCTACTGCCTCCAGAATTGAAATCTCTAAGAATTCAATATTTAAAAGTGAATTCTGGCTTTAACAATGGTGTGATTGAGATTTTAAAGTTTATTTATGAGTGCTTAAAGGTCCTACATTGCGCAAAATTGACTTTGGTGAGGTTTTAGACATGTTGTAATGTTGTTACTCCATAAAAACAGACCTGGAGTTTTGTTTTGTTTTATTCACGCACGTTTGTTAGAGTTTGGAGCTTTGGAGATGTAAACAGACTAATAATGAAGAATTACTCAGCCTTTTCTGTTTAGTTCAGTTCCATCGCAATTTTCAAAAAAATGATTCTAGTGAAGGTGTCTGGAGTTTAAAAACACAGTGGAGCACTTCTTGTACACACAAAGTGAAGCAGAGTGTTTTCAGTTTGTGCAAAAAACTCTGTTACCACCCCCAGTGGAGATCACTCTGATCGAAATGAATTAAATCTCTAAGAATTCAATATTTCAAAGTAAATTCTGGTTTTCTGTTTGATTGGGATTTTAAAGCGTATTAATGCGTACTTAAATGTCCTACATTGCGCAAAATTTAACTTCTGAGTGTCTAGCTATGTTAAAATGTTGTTACTCCTCAAAAACAAACCTGGAGTTGTGTTTTGTTTTGTTTCATTCACACACGTTTGTTTGAGTAACTCTTTATTTTTAGTCTGTCTGGATCTCCAAAGCGCAAAACACTGCCTTTTTCCATTAGTTCAGTAGAGATTCGCAAGGTTGAAATTATCCAAATGATTCTAGTGAAGGTGTGAAGAGTTTAAAACCACAGTGGAGCACGTTTTGTACACATAAGATGGAAAGGAAGGTTTTCAGTTTGGGAGAAAATCTCTGTACCGCCCCCAGTGGAGATCACACTGACGGAAATGAATTTAAATCTCTTAAGAATTCAATATTTCAAAGTGAATTCTGGCTTTAGCAACGGTTCGATTGTGATTTTAAAGCGTATTATTGCATGCTTTAATGTTCTATATGGTGCAAAACTGACTTTTCTAAGCTTTTATCCATGTTATAATGTTGTTATTCCTCAAAAACAGACCTGGAGTTGTGCTTTGTTTTGTTTTATTCACGCACGTTTGTTTGAGCAACTCTTTTATTTTTAGTCTGTCTACATCTCCAAAGCTCCAAACTTGACCTTTTTCCCTTTAAGTTCAGTAAGATTAATTAGAACTTCTAGGGCTGAAATTATACAAATGTTTCTAGTGAAGGTGTTTGGAGTTTAAAAACACAGTGGAGCAATTTCCTGTAACACAAGGTTGACAAGGAAACAACATTATAAAAACAGAATGGAAAATCTTGTAATATAAGCCTTTTTAATAACATTTTTATTCAAATTTTCAGTTATTTGATGGTGCTCATTTCAGAACAACATCTATAATAACTTCATAAAACATTTAATAGTTCATTTCAAGTTGTACGTTTGCGGTGAAGTGTGAAATTAAAAGTTGTTCTCTGTAACTTTTCCGTTTTGTTTTTTCTGTTACCTGCTCGACTTCGTGTAAAAGCGTGGCATGTTTCTTGGAATTTTGGAAATCCGCCTTTTGTTCACTCTTGACACGTGTTGTTACTGCTCCAAAATACCTGGAAAACACGCATTCCCACCTCTCCGCAGATCTTACTGGTAACACCAGCTTGCTCCAGGGTAGATTCCAAGAGCAATAACATTTAAATCTGTGTTATAATGTTGTTTCCTCGTCGCAAACGGACCTGGAGTTGTGTTTTGTTTCGTTCGCACATGTTTAACGCACAAACCCAGCACGTTTAGACTTCTTTAGAGTTCTTCTCTCGAACAAAAAAGCCCAATTCCACCTTGTGATGTCATGTGGTGATACAGGAAGTGTGTTTTTAAACTCCAAACACTTTCACTAGAATCATTTGGATAATTTCAGCCCCGGTATTGCCAATTTTTACCAAACAGGGATGGACAAAGAGATTGCGCACACAGGTTGAAAATTATCTTGTGAGATTTTTTGTTTATTTGTTTTTAAGTTTGGATTGAATTTAAAAACTAAATTTAAGTACTGGTGTATTAAATTTTTGAGAAACTGTAATCTCAAAACGCAGATCTACAATGACAGCGAAAATATGATATAAAGTAAATCTAAAAGTCTAAAATTAGGAACTGGATTTGCACAATTTATGTATTATAGCCTAAAGCAGTGGTGTCCAAACTTTTTTCATCAAGGGCCACATGTCTAAACACAGATAAAGCAGAATAATTGAAGTATGCGCATGTTTATCACGTTAGAATGAACCATCACCGTCTTTATTCATGCTTAGATCCTTAAAACAACACACTAAACATTAAAAAACTTGCAGTAAAAAAGTTAATTTTTAAGCGATGCAAGGTCATTTGGGCCTGGAAGCCTGAGGGCCAAGAAAAGTTTGTTTGAGGGCCACGTTTGGGCCACGGACCATAGTTTGGACATGCCTTGGCCTAAAGAATGTCCAACTCTCGTTCTTGAAGTTCCAGTCTCGTGTCTCGTCTCATTTTGTGGAAAATTGTCCCATTCTTGCTACGAAAGTAAAAGTAAAAGGAACTGATAACTTGAAAACTACCTCTTCATGACATCACAAGGTGGAACGGAGCATTGTGAACTTTGGACTGATCATAAACGGTTACTCAAACATGTGTAAATGAAACAAAACACAACTCCAGGTCTGTTTTTGAGGAAGTAATAAGATTCTAACATGACTTAAAGCTCACAAAGGAGTAAATTTCTCGTAATATCGTACCTTTAACATCCTGTGAACTATAATTCGTGACTTGCTTTGTCGGTCGAGGACATTAGGTAATACAGTAAAACAGTGACATACTGTTTTTCGCAATAACTTTTAATTGCGTTTGGTTTCCCGTCTATAATGATTAATCAACAAAAACTGTCTGGAATGCGGGACTGCTGCGGGGACTCATTATGGAATCACTTCTGTCGTTAAATTACAGCCGCAAATCTATACACAGCTACGCACTTTACAACCTATTAGGTGCCCCGTTAAAAGATTTGTATACTTAACTCTTGTGAGGTTAAAGCCGTGTTAGAGTGTCGTTATCTCGTCAAAAGCATACCAGGAGTTGTGTTTTGTTTTATTTACACGTTTTTCAGTAATCTTTTATTTAGTCTGTCTACATTTCCAAAGCTCAAAATGCTCCGTTTCACCCTGCGATAGTTTTCAAGTTACAGCTATACTTTTTACTTTTATTTCAGTAAAGATTGGCAATTCCAGGGCTGAAATTGTCCAAATAATTCTAGTGACTGATGTTTTTATGACATGACATCACAAGTTGGAACAGGGTTTGTGTGTTAAACATGTGTGAAAGCAACAAA